AAAAGAGGAAAAGGAATTGAGAAGGTGGAGGGTTCCCGTTACACACTAGATATCTCAAAAACACTCTTGATAGAAGTGTCAATGAAAGGAGAACTAGAGAACTTTTGCATGTTCTTTATATTGAATACCGAGTACTTTGTAGATTCAATAGGAGTCTTCGTCCTAATAGACTCTTCTTCATGCACATATTTTCCTTATTATTAAGTCTCCTTTTCAAAAACCCCTGGTTCTTTCTCATCTTCTTGTTCATAATTGGATTGAGCACCACTTAACTAAGCTAAAATATTAGCAACAACCTCATCAATAAAGACCTTCTAAGTATCCTTAAAATCAGTAAATTCACTTACAAAAGGCTCCATCAAACTGTGTGGTTCATTAGTTCCCACAGTAATATCACTATTCTAAGCTAACAAGTACCCTTCATTAGTCACACCAACCTCATCTAGAGGCTCAAAATGGTCAACAACTTTAGAAGTAACAACATGATTGTCAAAAGGGTCATCCTTATATTGAGTTTCTTTATTCTAATCATTTGCCTCCTTATTCTAAACTAAATGGTAACCTTCATCAATCTCTTCTTCATTTCGAGCTTAAATAATTCAACATCTTTCACTACAAAGGTGTTAGTTGACTAAGAAAAGGGTCAAAACCCTAGGATAATTTAAATAATTTTTCTTCTGACCGAGCTTCTTCATTCCTGATAGGATGTTCTTTCTCAACTACAAAACTTCCTCAAAATGCTATGCTAATACTTATTTTCTTTTATAAGGGTTTTCTTGTTTGACTTTAAAGAACCTTGAGTTCTCCCCAACTTTATAAAGCAAGAAATGTTCTCGTAGTTAGTTTTCCATGGGTCCTTTGCGCTTTTTTTTCCCCTTTTTCTAAGAATCTTTTTCATCCTTAAAACGCATACAAACTTTTTGCATTCTTTTATGAAACTCTATCTTCAAGCACTTTACACTCTTCACTCCCTAAACTTTACATGCTTTAGTTCATTATAATATTAATTCAAACAATATGATAACAACATATAACATGTAAAATAGTTTAACGTGTGAAAAATTACCAACATCTTAAATATACTAATAATATTCTTTTGTCTAAACCGTAGGTGTCCTCTATGGAATACAGTTTTGTTCGAATAAGTAGAAACATATTAATAATATGTTAATACAGCTAAAATACTAAATATAAATACAAGAAAACAAATATAATACATTAAACAATCTAGTACAAAAATGGAAATAATGTAAAATTAAATACACAATAGAATAACACGATTTCTCAAATTATTATTTAAATTAAATATTAACCACCGTAAGATGATAAATTATGAATAAAATTTGTATTAATTTAGTATAAGAACATAGAATACAACAAATATCGAGTTAAGTAAATCATCAATTCATATTACACGTTATATTATAAATTAAAGGTTAAATTATATTTTTAGTCTCTTTATTTATTTGTAGGATTTAATTTAGTTTCTTTATTTTAAAAGGTTGAATTTAGTCTTTTAATTTTTAAAAAATGTTTAATGTTGCCCCTCTGTGAGGGAAGTAAATTCACCCATGAGTAATGCCTGAATTCGCCTCGACTTTGACTGAAATACCCAGTTTGATTGAACACAAATACAAGTAATACTCAATTTATTGAATCGGTACAGGGATGGGATGAATATATACATAGCCATCCTATACGCGTACACGCTTTAAATTCTAAAATCTTAATTTATTTTTTTTAGAATTTTCTTGAAATTTATGTAATTTTTACTTCATTTTAAATTTATTTCAAATAAAACTTAATTAATATAATTTTTAATTGTTACTCTGTTGAAATATATATATATGTATATATATATATATATATTTATTTATTTATTTATTTATTTATTTTTAAAAAAATAATTAATTTTTGAGTGAATACGAAATGGATACAAATATACTTTATACTTGATAAGGATGAGGATGGAAATGCAAATTCTATACTCGATGGGTATGGGAATGAGGATGGGTATAAGGTATGAGAATGGGAATGAGGATATTAAAACTCGTACATGCCTCACCCTATTGACATCCCTACCTTTTGTCCAAATTGACACTAACAAAGTTAATAAAATTAAGTGAAAGGACAAAGTTAAACTTTTTTTGAAAATTGGAAGAACAAATTGAGCATTTTAAAAAATCTATTTATAATATAAAAGTCGAGCTATTCTATATTACGATGGTACATCATTTTAAAATAAACTTTAGGTTTTGTCATGTTAGCAAAAATGTTGACATATCATTCTATGATCTATTCCTTTTTTCTAATATATCTCCATTTGTGTAAACCTAGTTACAAATCCACTTCCGAAAACCTAGTTATAAATACATTTAAGAAAACCTAGTCTCTCCTACACCTCCGAAGCATATTAATAATCCCACCACCGTCATTGACACACACACCACTTCTTCCTCAATAACTCCTTCACAATATGACACCTTTATCCTCCTCTTCCCCACCACCTTCACCTCAGCCAAATGTGACGTCGACGTCAATCTCTGTGTCAAAATTGCCTCATCCACAATATGATGTCTTTATCCTTCTCTTTCCCACTGCCTTCACTTCAGCCAAATGTAACATTGACATCAACCTCTTCGTGTCAAAATTGTGCTCAATAAATATAAATGACCATCCATTTCTATTCTATTGTTTTCTTTCTCTTTTAGTTTTACAAATGACTTAATCCTAAATGTCTTCTTAATTTATTATACAAATGAAGTAGCGTTGTGTATGAGATCCGTGGCGGATGAGACAACCCTACACCGTGAGATCTTTATGGATGGGATAACGCTACACAAATCTCTCATGGATCTTAATTGTGAATTATTGATGGATGAGATAACAGTACAAATCTTAATGAATAGGACATTGCACTATGGGATCTCACATGAAATTAAGCAACGAATTTTGGGAGAATCATGGAGTTGAATAACAAACTTTGAGAGAATCAAGGAATTGAACTTTTTCTTCATCTTTACAAATTTTCTCCATTAATTTATTTTAATTTTTATGTTTTTCTTTATTTAGAAAATTCTTATAATTACTTTTTAAAACTATATTTTTAGAATTATTTAAATTTTTTTTAGAATCTTCATGATTTTTTTGTTATATAAATTTAATTAAACAAAATAAAAATAATTTGAATATCATTACATTGTGTTATAATTGTTGGTAATACTCATTCCTTTTCATATGTAATTCTCTCCTTTAGTTGATATTTAAATTGTTATCTCTTATATTTCTTCATTCTAATTATAAATTATATTTTTTATTTTTTAGTATTTATCTAATATTATTGTAATTTTCTTCTTTTTAAATTCTTCTAAAATTCTTTTTTCTTTAAATAAGAAATGTGCAAAACTAAAAAGATCAAATAAGACATCACACAAAATGATGATAAAGAATTATAAAAAATAAAATGTCAAGTTATCAATAAATAAAAAATTATTTTTTCCAGTATTTACTAAATTAAATTATTATCAATATCTCTTAATTATAAATTAATCATCAATAATAACTTCTAATTAATTACAATTTATAATTATTTTATTAATTACAACTTATAACATTTGATTATGACTATCAACTATGACACTATTGTATAAATTACAAATTATAAATGCTATAATCAATTACAATTTAAAATTATTTATTATTAATTACAATTATAAGGCATTTAATTATGACTATCAATTATTTTTTAATTTGATTGTATAAATTAATATTTGTAATTAAAATATTCAATACAAATTTTAATTTTATCATCATTTCTTCAATATTTGATATCCTATACAAATATTTAAATTAACTAAATTTAAAATATCATTTCACTTTATACTTTTAAAATATATTTAAATTTGAAAAACTCATGCATAATTTATCATTATACTTTAATTTCAAAGAATTATTCATTCATTATATAATAATTTTAAATTACATCATATATAAATATAATTAAAAAATAATTTGTATAATAATATAATTTTGATTAATAAATATATTTTTACCTATAAATTTAATAACTTTTCGACAATTATTTAATGTTAATATTTAATATAATGCTTATTTTGAATTATTTATAATCCCAAATTATAACATATATCTATTTATACACCATATAAGGTATGAGTCAATGTGGATCAATATCTAGTTGAAATCAAATTAAACATTTTAAATGATTCAACTTGATCATCTAATTTTTAATAATATTCAATGTTACCTTTTCATTGAATTTCATTAATGTCAATTTAAATGAAAGGAAACCCTTTTAAAAATCAAGTAACCAAATTAAATTTTAAAAATAAAAAAATCTAAAATATAATTTAATCTAAAATAAATAATTTTTTAATATTAACAATATAATATATATACCTATATGTATAACAATAAGAACCCTCTTATTTAGTGTTTACTTTTATCTTTCTGATTTTACTCTTAATAAATATAATGATCAATAACTGTACATACTACCATGATAGATTCGTTCTCTCTCTTTTTTAACAGAAACATGTAATGCCTTTTTTCCTCACTGGTATAAAAAAAAATTATGTTTTCATGTACACAATTCTTAAACTATTTTACCCTTATAAGTTATAACCACCCCTAACCTACTTGCATACATTTCCTTCTCCAAATTTCTCACTTCTTAAATACTCACCTACTCCATTAGTTTTATCTTTTTAATTTTTAAAAATATGAAGAGAAAAAAAAGACCCATTGCATCTCTTTTACGCTAGTAATTGTCACCAAGTCCTATTCGTAACATCTTTTCCACAAGGACTATTATCTGATCTGATTTCTACGATAAAAATAGCAAAAGTTTTGAACCGAAAAAACAGAACTCAGTAAATTAGATAAATTCAGAACTTCTTTAGTAATTAAAATATATATATATATATATATATATATATATATATATATATATGAAATTTCATTCGTAGTTTTAGTTAAGTAGCAACTTTAAACTGATACAGTTTCTTCTAATAGTTGAATCAGTTGGAATATATGTACAAAGTCCAGTCAGCTTTTCCTTCCGAACCAACCAGTTTTCTAACAGGGGTGTGTACGTATACAATACTATAGAGGGACTTTTACATAAAAGGTAATCATGAAAACGTAATGAACTTGCCTTTCTTTAACATTATGCTTGTATAACATAATTATCGCTCTTTAACACTTTTCTCCTTCCTCTTAGTCTCTAAGAGTGAAGAAAGAAGGGCACATTTCTCCTGGATTTCTTTCAATTCCTCCTCCAAGACCACAACCTATTTTACATCAGCAACACTAAAAACTCAAAACAACTATTTAAATCATAATCATCACACATTGTTATTAGACTACTATTACCGTCTTTTTCAGTTCTGTCTCCTTTAGCCTGTACTCCTCACACCTGCACAAAAGGGTTTCAGTGGGATCGTATTCAACAATAAAACAAGTAAACAAGAAGCCCGGGCAAATCAAGCAAAGTCTATATACACACCAATGTGACTGTCGTGTTAAAACCTTGCATGCCAAAACATTGAGAAAATTATACAACGGTCTACATGTCATGTCATAAGTATTAATATACAACGGTCTACATGTCATGTCATAAGTATTAATGATTAATTATTTGTAAAGTATATATCGTGATGAAGTATAAAGTATTGGATTAGAGGGAAATTTCAAGCACAAGATTGCATGATATAAAATATCCAATCCAATGTATTTTATGAGAGCCATGTTATTCCTAGTATATTAAATCAGGATTGTTTTGATGTATACCATTGTCAATGGGTCCTAACTCATACGAGCAAAATTATTTAAGAGAATAATACAAGTAGGGTATATAAGATTAAATCCAAAAACAGATAATCAAGATATAACAGGGCCAAGGTGACTCAAAATTACATATCCTTGTCACGGTAAGTGAAGCAACAGAAGGTCAATAAGATTTTGGTTGAGGTACAAGTATAGCTAGTCAAAAAATAAAACAAGGATGAAAATGACAAATATTTGATCGGTCTTAAAGACAATTTGAAAATAAATATTTACCTCTCGAAAAGTTTTATATTTTCTTCACAGATTTTATCAACAGATACAGACCCTTGAGTTCCTACAGTTGCACCCTGTGAGAAAAAAACAAGCTCACGAACCTTAAAATGTTGCATACATGCACAATATAAAATAGAAAATTTTGATCAATGGTTGCATACAAACAAATGGTAATTTTTGTCACAAGTCTGTCCTTAATTATAAATCAGTTATTTTCTAATTAATGTACTGATTTGAAATTGTAACAAATCTGTTCAGAAATAGATTTGAATAAAATCTGAATCATAATTGATGTAATTAGAGGAAAATCTTCTTAATTGGAGAAAATATTTGTAAAATCTTCTATTTTATTTTTCAGTATATTTTTTCCTTATTTTAGAAGATTAGGTTATTACAAATAGGTGAAAGGAAAATGTAATATGTATGAATGATAATAATAAAATCATTCTCTTTTTCAAGTTGGTATCAGAGCTCCTGATCTTGGGAGCTCCGTTTCTGCTGCAATAGTAGTTGCTGCCGCCTCTGTCCGGCCACTACGGCTGGCGCCCGAAAATTTTGGGGGGGTGTTAGGGGGGAAGGGGGGGCCGAAGTTCGGGG